GAGAGTCAGAATTGGAAACCACTACTGATGCCCAGTTAGACTTCAGTGGTCATACTCGGGTTATGGAAGCTTCAACTGAGTGTCTTGCGATGGCTAAGATGTCTCTAAGGTCTTCATAGAAGGTATCAATTTAGCAGATTAATGTGGCAATCTTTTCTAGAAAAGGCAAGGCACCTCGGGTTTTTAAGTGGCCAGGCTGTGAGAGTCGTGTTTATGGTGATCTTGGCAGACCCAACAAAATCAGCATAGCATGCTCTTGAGGCTTGAGCTGACAGCAGTTGGGATGAATAGCTCAAAAATCCATTTAGATTGCTTGATGTGAATATAATTTGTCAAGGTGCCAATGAGGCAGAATAAAAAACTCAGCCAATAACCACAACTGTGTGGCCAGATGAGGCAGGGTCTGAGCTCCGGGGCAAAGTGGAAAGTTTCACTGCCTAACAGCCGAAGCCACAGAACCTTGGGGGAGGTTGGCTTTCCTCCTGCCTTATTATGGAAAGACACAACATTTCAGTCAGAGCGAAGCAGCCACAGTCCCTGCAATTCATAAAGAGAACTGGTGACAGGATAAGGCCAAAGGAAAGTATTTGAAATTGAAAGCCGTAATTTCTCGCAAATGCAGAGTTTTAGAAAGAAAGATCATTTACCCTAATCATGGTAGGTGCTAGCCTTGCAAATATGAGAAGCACCGTCCCAACTGTAAGAAGCTCACAATCTTGGGAAAGGAAGAGAGTAAACAGGTTAAGTAGAATGCAAGAAGAAATCACCAATAGCTACAGAGCCTCGTACCCTCCTACCACCAGTCACTTTCTATTACTGGAAATAGAAAATAACCACACACAATGCCCTAGAGTCCTAAGAATAACTTTGGAAACACGAAGCAATAGTTCCAGTGTGAGACAGTGCAGTGAGTCAACTACAGGCTTGTAAACTGAGAAGCCGTGAGCGAGAGGGCCGAAGGTCCGGTCTCCACGAGAAGCAGCATAAAAACCCTTGCGTCATAAAAACAGAAGCATTTCCACAGAATCAGGCCATTTTGGGTTCACTCAGGCTAATGATACACCAGATATCTCAGAGTGGAATCTGTTGTAAGCAAAGCTGGGAGGCTTAAGCAACCTTCCTTCCTTCCACTGAGAGAAGGGCAGAGCTCATGAAGAATTCTGACCATTCAGAGTTCTGCCTTCCCTGCTCCATGCAGACTAAAGTAAAAGGATTAAAGTAAAACCTTTCATACGTACTCCTCTAAAAAACAAGCAATAGAGCTATAGCATGAAAGGCAAGAAAAGGAGAATGGACCAGTGTGGCAGGGAAACATGACATAGAAATACTCCTCACCAGAAGGAAGGACAGCGAGACACCACATTCCCTCATCCCACTGGAAGGAAAGAACAGGTTCTTTCTGCTCCAATCAGATCAAATAAGGTGACAAAACCCAAAACCCTCCAAGTAAAGTTTATTAACTCAAATCGCTGAGCAGAGCATTAAAACCTTGGGCTAGATGTTATGGAGAATATCAAGATAAAACAGATTTACTGTGAAAATGCTGTATAAAATATATTAAAGTACAGCCCCCTAACAACTCTTCACACTCAGAAACATATTGACTGCATTTCAGAAAAGGTAAAGAGATAGGGACCAGAAATAAGAATTTAAAAAAGGAGTGAGGCCAGGCGCAGTGGCTCACGCCTGTAATCCCAGTACTCTGGGAGGCTGAGGTGGGAGGATCACTTTAGGTCGGAAGTTCAAGACCAGCCTGAGCAAGAGCAAGACCTCGTCTCTACAAAAAATAGAAAAATCAGACAGGTGTAGTGATGTGAACCTGCAGTCCCAGGTACTTGGGAGGCCGAGGCAGGAGGATCGCTTGAGCCCAGGAGTTTGAGGTTGCTGTGAGCTAGGCTGACACCACTGCACTTTAGCTTGAGCAAGAGGGCAAGACTCTGTCCCCCCCCCAAAAAAAAAATCTTTTCCTTGCTAAATTGGAACTCAGCAATAATTATTTTTAAAAACACTCCCAAGATGGCTCATAGGAACTTAGAGTCTAAACTGATGCCTTAAAAAAAGATAGCTCCACCTAATATGTGGTTCACCCAGTTGGGCCTAGCAATGTTAAACAAATTTTCCTTTAACTTCTCCCCTTCTCTGCCTTTGATGAACTCTAAAAAGTTATTCCATAGCAAAAGGAAATAGTTCAAACTCTAGTCACATCCTGTAAAAGTTTAACTCTCTTGACCCAAACATAAGGAGCAGACAGCCTTATAGCATGAGTCAGTGAGCGCTATGTAAGTTATATCCTCAATTTACTTTCCTTCTTAGACATGGAACCAACCTAGCTTATTCTCCCAAATCCCACTCCTCTGACAGTAAGGTTTAAGACTCCTTTTAGACTTTCCTGGCAGCAAAAACAAACACTACCACCACCAGCCTATACAGAATCGTGGCAGCCAGGCCCCACCATTAGAGATTCTGAATCAGAATTTGAATTAAAGCGTAGGAATCTGTATTTTTTTTTTTTTTTTTTTTTGAGGCAGAGTCTCACTCTGTTGCCCGGGCTAGAGTGCCGTGGCGTCATCCTAGCTCACAGCAACCTCAAACTCCTGGGCTCAAGCAATCCTCCTGCCTCAGCCTCCCGAGTAGCTGGGACTACAGGCATGCGCCACCACGCCCAGCTAATTTTTTCTATATATTTTTAGTTGTCAGATAATTTCTTTCTATTTTTTAGTAGAGACGGGGTCTTGCTCTTGCTCAGGCTGGTCTCGAACTCCTGACCTTGAGCGATCCACCCGCCTCGGCCTCCTAGAGTGCTAGGATTACAGGCGTGAGCCACTGCGCCTGGCCTCAACAGCTCTTAAAGAGTCACCTAATTCAACATTTTAATACAAGAAAAGACGAGGCTTAGGGATCTCTCTCCACAATTACACAGCAAACAAGCAGATGGAAGATCCAAGCCCAGGGCTCCCTGCTGCAAGGCAAGGCTCCTTCCCACTAAATCAGTTGCATATTCTCACAGGAAATACAAATTAAAAGTAGAAATGTTCATTCCTCAGGTATCTTAGGCAGCTGTGCCACTTTTGTAAGGACTCTGTTGCATAACAAAATTTGGCTGGACTCTGTCCCTGGTTCTGGGAGGGAGCATCTAAAACCCTTAGACTGTCCTGAGCGATGGGCATGTCTTGTTAGTCATGGTTGGGCCCCTCCGACTACACCTGAATTTAGGCTACACAATGACTCCTGGTAGACCTCTGGATAGTTCTTGGATGGAGGCTGCCCATGCTGGAAAGATCAACCACGTGATTGTAAGACTGAGTCATGTGACATCAGCTTGGTCTCCTGATCTCCAGGGAGGGGAGGCCAACTGGAAATTTGAGTTTAATCACAAGGCCTGTAATTCAATCAATCATGCATATGTAGCGATGCCCACATAAAAACTCTGGACACCCAAAGCTCAGGTGAGCTTCCCTGGTTGGTGATACACTCCAATGTACCAGGAGGGTGACATATCCTGAGAATATAGAAGCCTTGTATTGGGGACCCTCCCAGACATTACCCTATGGGTCTCTTCTTTCAGCTGGTCCTAATTTATATCCTTTTATAATAAAACTACAATCGTAAGTCTAGCAGTTTCCTCAGTTCTGTGAGTCTTTCTAGCAAATGACTGAACCTGAAGGGATAGAGGGAACCCCCAGATTTGTAGCCAGTCATTTAGAAGTGCAGTGGCCTGGGAACCCTGCAGCTTGCACTTGGTGTCTGAAATGAGTGGAGAACTGTGCTCCCCGATGTGTGCAAATGACGTAATTCCAGGTAGTGTCAGAACTACCTATTATAACAGGGTTGGGGCTCAGAAAACAGTATCCCCAAATGAAGGCCTCAGAAGCAAAAGTTTTTCTCTGACCTTCTCCTGCCCTCCTGTCTCTCAGTCCCATTCTCCCCTGAGGCTAGCCACAGAAACTAGAATCCCTCTTCCCCAAGGCAGGCCACAGAAACCAGAACCTAGTCCTTTTCCTTCCAGTCAAAAAAAAAAAAGAAAAAGAAAAAGAAATCAGAACCCCCTTTCCCAAAAGCCAGCCATAAAACCACGAATTATCCTGTATAAAAACTGGCCATAAAGAAATTATCTGACCTACCTTGTTTGACTGCAGGTCATAAGACCCCCATTCCAGAGAGGGTCCTGCCCCACACCAGAAGGAAGGAATGCAGCTCAGAGAGGCCAAGAAGAATCTGGACAGACAGGCCTTGCTGGGTTTCCCAGTCTATTAACACTAGATCATACCCTTTTTGTGAAATCATATTCCTACACGGCTGTCCATACTTTGTTGAACCTAAGCACAAAAATGGAAAACTTCCCCCATATCTTGGGAGTATTCATTCTGAAGGCTCCCATGTATATACATTAAATAAATTTGTATGCCTCTTCTCCTGTCAATCAATCTGCCTCCTGTCAGTGATTTTTCAGCAAAGGGGGCCTTGGTCCCCACAACCACATGTAAAATTAACAGATCATGTTCAATTTACCTCCTGAAAAATTTAGTTCTTATTAGATACATACCTAATGATAGCAATTGCCTAGTGTTTCGAAAACAATATCCAACCTTAGACTTTTTAGTTAGAAAGATATTTTTCAATCTCTCATCCAAAAATCCTGCTAGGAGTAGTATTTAGAACCAGTTCCTAGACTCACACCATCTTCAATGGTGACATTATTTGGGTGGGACAGGAAGATTACTCACTTTCATGTTCCTCTTGTACCACCAGGTTCACATGGTCCACACAAGCTTGGATGTCATTCCATGTAATAAATTCATTATTCTCTGCATGTGCCTGAGCTTTCAGTTTCATCAACTCATCAAGATATCTGTCCCAGGACCCCAACAAAAAAGACAATGAAGTGCAGCATTAAAACAAACAAAAACTCCAGG